GTACCAACATGGATCATGACCGCTGGGTCATCCCCAGCCCCTCCCAATAATCCATCCCCTCTGTCAGCAACATGCCGGACCCGAGCACCCGGGAGACAGCAAACTGTCCGGTTGAGCCGATCAGAGCGGCAGATTGCCCTATCTGCTCTCCTAATGATAGAGTCCCTACCACCACAACCTGTCTTGCCTTCCTAACATTTTGATCCCCACCCGTACTAGGGGGGCTGTTAGCTCGGCTGTTAGAAGTAACAGCTTCCTCTAATACAGCTACTCCTGAGCTGATGCTCCCAACATCTTCCCTCAAACGGGCAAATCTGCTAGATTGCACCAAATCAGGACTAGCTAGCCCTTTCCTCTTCCCTCCCCCCCTGCTTCCTCGCCCCACTGTCACCCAGCTACATGCCTGTTCCCCATCTGTCTTATCTCCTCCCTCTCCACTACCTGTCCCCACTAAACTCTGCTCAGTGAGCAGTAGACTCCTCTCAAGATTGTCAATCTCACTCAATGTTGCAATTTGCTTCTCGAGATCTCCAATCTGAGCTTCCAGAGAAGCCACTCACACACAACCATCACAGAGGTATGGACCCTGGACGGGTACATCCAGGCATCCATACATGCAACAAGATGTGCATTGAGTTAAACCAGCAATCTTGCCAACACTCATATCCCCTTTAAACAGAAAATAAAAACAATTACCTTGATAGTTTAAACCCCTTGTTAGTTTTAACTCCTGGTTTTCTAACTCCTACTTGAAAGAGTCTACTTAATAGAGGCTGCTTTCAAGTAATTCACTTTTCCTTGTTTTATTCACTTCTTAAGAGGGGCTAATACAAGTTTATTATCTTCTATATATTTCATTTATGTTCTACACTGGCAAGTGGCTGCCTTAGACTAATGAACAGCTTTAATTCAGGGTATAGGGACTGATTTCTGGGAGGATCTCTTGGTAACCCCAGTTCAGTCTCTTCCTTTTCTATATTATATCCCTTGGGTTATGCCCTAATACCCTACAACCTTACCAACCCCAGTGAAGGATTTTCTTTTCCAACACTGGATGTTGTGTCTTTTCTCATTTATTTTAACAGATATCATGTTATGGTTTGTGGCGGAACTTACAACCTATTCGTATGTTTTCCCATTTATGTCGTATGTTTGATCCTTTTTTCGTTCGCGAGTACTTTATACGAACAGAATCCTTTCGTCTCCCGAATGAGGACCACCCCTGCACCCTATTAGAATGTTTTTTTTGTTGTTTTTTTTTTTACCAATCAGTTTTTATTGAGATAATAAAGTGTATGGGGTACAGAAGGAAAAAAGGGTAACATTCAGGGTTTTATAGGTCAGATGTGGCCGTATACATTACATCCTGTCTCAAGGCTCATATCGGCCACCATAGTTAGTGAATATGGGGAACTAGTAACTTGTAGCCAACTGTAACATGCCCTACATTAGAGCCCTTGTTGGAGAAGACTTTTAGTTGTGGGCTGCCTTCCTGGTGGAACGCTCTCCTTGTTTCATGTCATCTCGCAATTGCGCATAGGTGTAAGCTACGTATATAGTTGTAGGATGTCTGGACAGCGTAGGTCGGGGGTCAGGTCGGTGTCGTGGGGGGAAATTCTCTCCATTTCGTCAAGTTGGGATGATGTTCCCCTAGCTAATGGACCAATCCAGTGGTCAGGTGTATTGCAGTCATGGGGAGCCGTAGTCATATTAGTGCCGGGTGGGGCAGGCCAGCACCCAGCCCCCCAGGTCGGATTTTGTATGGTTGCGTACTTGTTGGGTTGGTCAGGATACCTGGTGTGTGACGTCTGTCCGCCCCACCCGTTAGGCATGACTGTGTTCCCGGTCCAGGGGTTCGACTCTAGTAGCTGTCCCCCTCTGGTGTGCCCCCCTCCTCCCATGCCCCCTATAGGTCCGCTCGTTTGGGCCATGGATTCTCCCCACCCTCCGCGTCCCCTGTCCATCACCCTCGTGCCTATGATCTCCTGACTGGGGGGAAGGAAAAGGGGGCCGAGGGTCTGGCCTGGAAGTAGGAGGCAGGGGAGGGGGGGGGAAGTAGGGAGAAAGAGAGAGAGAGAGAGAGAAAAGATAAGCAGAGAAGAAGAGAAAAAAAGGGGGGGAAGGGGGGGGGGAGAGAGGGGAGGGGGCATGACAGTGCCTGTATCTTGTATGGTCTCTGTGGGGCAGGTATAGTGCTTCCCTAGTTCTCCGCTTCCTAGTGGCTTTTGTCCCTGGTCGCTGCGGTTCGTCTCTGGGCTATATAGGTGCACCAAGGGAGCCAGGTGATAGCACATTTGTCTCCCGTGCCGTGTAGCGATGCCGAGAGGGATTCCATGCTGTATATGTCCTCTACGCGGTCCATCCATTGCTCCACAGTCGGTGGCTCTGCCGCGCTCCATTTGGTAGGGATGAGAGATTTCGCTGCATTAAGTAAGTGTTTGGTTAGGGAACGTTTGTATGTAGCTATAGGGCGTGTGGTGTGGTGGAGTAGCATCGGTAATGGCTGGAATGGTAGGTCCGGGTCTACGATGCTCTGAATTTTGGAATGGATTTGTTTCCAGTACTGTGGACGTCTGTCCCACCCTCGGCTCCACATCTCCAGCAGATGTCAGGGATTTCTCGGTTCATGCGGTGTAGTTTCGCTGGGGTCCTGTACCAGTTGAGCATAATTTTGTAGTTAAGTTCCTGGATTTTTGAGCTGAGCGTGCCTTGGTGCGTTAGCACGTGGATCTTCTCCCATTGCTGGTCTGTTATCGTTTGGTCTGTAGCTTGTGGTGCGCGTGGTGTGGTTATGAGCAGTAGAGAGTAGAGTTGCGTGATTTCTTTCAGTGGTCTATCCCTGGCTACGCACATGTGTTCAAAGGCGGTTAGATCTCTATGGAAAAGGTGTTTGCCCGCCGTGGTTCGGTAGAAGTGCTGGATCTGATGATAACGGAACCTAATCATTAATGAGATTTTGCCGTCCGGGATCAGTTCCCTCAATGTTTTCAGTCCCGTTGTGGAGCATAGATGTTTCATATAGGTCCAGTCCGGGTCCCCGTGTCCCGACACATCCTCGGGTCGCAGGCCACCTGCGATATCTGGATTATGGGTTATAGGTGTCAGAGGGCCTGGCGTTGTAGTGAGTCCGTCCTTCAGGCGGGTGGTAATCCATACATGCATCGTGGCCCGGATAAACGGGTTGTGGGTCATTCTGGGGTCCTTTAAGGGGTGCGCTGTCCATACCGCGGATGGCAACTTTCGAGCCACTTGGCTATTCTCCAGTTCCTTCCAGAGTTTGTCTGAGTTTAGTGTGTGCCAGTCCACCAGCCGGAGCAGGTGGGTGGCCCTGTAGTAGTGGACTAGCGAGGGGAGAGCCAAGCCCCCCATCCTTTTGGGCAGGGACAGGAGTGCCCCGTTAACCCTGGGTCGTCCCGTTTTCCACACAAATTTTATTATCTCAGTGTTGAGCATCTGGAAGAAGGTCCTGGGTATCATAATTGGGATGGTCTGGAAGAGGTAGAGAAGTCGAGGGAGAAGGTTTAATTTTAATGCATTGATTCTCCCGAACCAGGATATGCACAGACCTCCCCAGTTCGTCATGTCGTGCTGTAGCGTGCGGAGGATGGGTACAAAGTTCTCCTGGAATAGGCGCGTCGTGTCTCCGGTGAGCCAGATGCCGAGGTATTTGAGATTATCCGCACACCACTTAAATGGGTACTGTGCCCGTAGATGAGTTGTGTCAGCGGCAGATAGCTTTAGCGGGCAGGCTTCCGATTTATCAGCGTTGAGCTTGAGGTTAGAGAGTAGGCCGTACTCCCGGAACCTTGCTAGTAGGTTCGGGAGGGAGATGAGTGGGTTGGCAAGGAAGAAGAGGAGGTCATCCGCATAGGCCGCAACTCTCTGTTGCAGTCCATTGTAGGCGAGGCCCGTGATTCCCCCATCCCGCCTGACCGCCCCCAGGAATGGTTCCAGGGAGAGGGCAAACAGGAGGGGGGACAGGGGACACCATTGTGGATGTTGAATGGCTGTGATAGGGCACCATTGATGCGCAGGCGAGCTGTGGGTATCGTGTAAAGGGCAGTTATCCAGGTCAGCATGTGTGGCCCGAATCCCATCGTACGGAGCGTCGCCAGCATGAATCCCCAATCGACCCGATCGAACACCTTCTCGGCGACGGTCGAGAGGAGGAGGATCCCCTTCCGGCTGCCCCCGCCAGGTGGATCACGTTGAGAGCCCTGATGGTATTGTCGCGTGCCTCCCTGCCGGGGATGAATCCCACCTGATCCGGGTGCACCAGGTCCGGCAACGCGCGCCCCACCCGCATGGCCAGTATTTTAGTGAACAGCTTCAAATCAGAGTTGAGTAAGGAAATCGGCCTGTAACTGGAACAGTTCGTTAGGTCCTTCCCGTCCTTTGGGATGAGAGAGATTGTGGCTGCCAGTGTGTCTCTCGGGAGGTGGCCGCCGTCCAGTAGATGGTTTAGGTTACCCAGGAGGTGTGGCAGCAGGATGTCTTGGAATTTTTTGTAATATGCCGCGGGGAGGCCGTCCGGGCCTGGCGCCCTATGGGCTTTGGCGATCTTAAGATCGTGTTTGAGTTCCTCTAGTGAGATAGGTTCTTCCATTTCAGTCCTTTGTTCGTCCGTAAGGGTCCGGGAGATATGTCGTTCCAGGTAGTTCGCGATCTCGGTTTCGCGCCTTAGCCAGGCCGCTGCACCTCGTGTTTCCGGGATGTTATATAATTCCTTGTAGAAATGGTGAAAGGCCGTCGCTATTCTGTCTGGGCGTTGAGTGAGCATGCCGGTCTGATCACGGATCTTGGTTATGTGTGTGAGTCTTCATTCCCTTTGCAGGCGCCTGGCCAGGAGTCTCCCGCATTTATCCGAGTATTCGTAGAAGTGTCTACGAGATCTGCGAATGGTTTGGAGGAGGCCTTGTGAGAGCAATTGTTTGAGGTTTCTCCGCGCCTCCAGGAGTTCTCTGTAGGTATCTTCTGATAGGGTGGTCTTATGTAGGGTTTCAAGGGTTGCCACTTGTCGATGGTTCCACGTCTGGGGTGGTGTTCTCCTCAAAGTACTTCTGCAGTGCGTCACTCATCTCCATTGTCGCCGCCAGCTCCTCTAAGACTTGCTCATTGAGCCTCCACTGCCTCTCCCGTGGTCTGTACAGCGGGGAGGCAATCTTAGTCCAGACCGGTGCGTGGTCCAACCAAGTTGCCGCGTGGATCCCACTGGATTGCAAGAGCGAAAGATATTCAATGGGGAGGAAGATATAGTCCAACCGACTGTAGCGGTTGTGGACCGTGGAGTAGTAGGAGTAGTCCCTCCCTAGTGGGTGGGCCACTCGCCATGAGTCTGCCAACCCCAAGTTCTTGAGGGCCAGGAGGGCCTTGCGTTGGTAGGAAGCTGGTAGGGAGCTAGTTCCCAGGGAGGTGTCCAGACACGGGTCCAGGGCCAGGTTGAGATCCCCCGCCAGGATCAGCATGCCTTCTCTAAAGCGTTCCAGGGCGTGCAGTGTGCGTGTCAGGAAGTTATGTTGTGCTGTATTGGGCGCATAGACACACGCCAAGGTATAGGGATGTCCGGCAATTGTGCCCTTCACGAATATGTAGCGGCCCTCTGGGTCCGCCAATTTAGCGTGGCTCTGAAAGGGCACCGTGCGGGCTATGAGAATTGCCACCCCCACCTTTTTAGCATGTGGGTGGTTGGCAAAGTATCCGGTTGGAAAGCGGGTGTCCCGCAGCGCCGGTGCATTTCGCCCCTGGAAGTGAGTTTCCTGGACGAATGCAAGCGACGCGCGTGCCGCCCACAGAGTGCAGAGAAGGTGTGAGCGTCGTTCTGGTACGTTAAGGCCCCGAACGTTGTTCGACCATAGGCAGAGATCTGCCTGCTTAAAGTGACCGGGCATTGTCTGCGAATATGGGGTGTGGAGGGGAAGGGTAGGCAGATAGCGGTTGAGAAGAGGGAGGGAGAGCGAGAGAGGGAGGGGGAGAGAGCGTGAGAGAGAGAGGGAGAGTGAGAGAGAGAGTGAGAGAAAGAGGGAGAGAGAGAGAGAGGAAGGGGGGACTGAGAGTGAGGACCAGTCAGGAGTCAGGTCCCGCGACCAGGAGTCGACCCAAGGTCCTTGACCTCACCTACCCCCGTCCCCGCACCTCGTCCGAGTTGTGAGGTGCCGGTAGTGGCTCAACGCACTTGGTGTGTACCGGGGGAGTCAGTCCAACTGTCGTCAGTCGTCCCCAGGTCGCACCTTGTGTGCCTGTACAGGTGTGCGTCTGCCCGTGGGGCGTGACTGTAGTCAAGGGTCCGTCGCCCTGTGTCGTGTGTGGTACTGAGGTGTCCTCTACCGTCCATAGCCGTCACCGCCCTACCAGGTAGTGTATTCCCCGCAAACGTATACTATGAGGGTGTGGTCAGTATTCATAACAAAATGTGTGAGAGCATTGTGGATGGGCAAGGGTCCCAGGTGGGATCCGGTTTCTGCATCGCAAGCACACCCCGTGCATCCCCCTGCTATTATATGGTTCCAATCCGGGCGTGCCAGCCCCAGAGCACCGGGCCCCTACTTTAGAGTTCAGTCCTCCGCTCAAGGTGCACCGGGCCGGGACAGGGTGCCCCATAATGCAAACCCCCCCCCAGCCCCACCCCCACCAGGTGCAAGTCCCACGGTCCATCCCCTACAAATCTGCACCACCCCAGTCCAATGGTGCCTCCGGACCAATGTTCCCCCTATTAGAATGTTAACACCAGCAACTTTAGTGCGAAACCGCAAGGGAAGTAATTAATGAATGCTTCCCCTGGGTGGCCGCCGTTCTTATAACTGAACACGTGGCAGACAAAAGAATGGCAGAGATTTTCTCTCCGGAACATGGGCAACGGTACTTGTTCGTCGAGTGCCTGTAACTCTTTTCGTCTAGGCACTTGCGCGAACGCTGGTAAAACTTAGGCCGCTGCCCATTCCTTTTCCTGACCACCTATTCGGGAAATATGAGCTACCGAACAGCAGGGGGGTGGACATTTGTATCCTGAAAAGAGATTCCTCTGCATTGTGTTCGCAAAGGAAGCTCACAAATGGAGACCGGCCAGGGCACCTGTTTTCCTGGAACTCTTTTGGGCTAGCGCCTCGTGTCTGGACGACAAAACTTTACCTCAATGGCATTCCAGTTTCACCGAATGACATTTATTTGAATTCTTATTAATAAGTCACCTACAATTTCTCAGAACACCCCGCATTGGCCATACCACCATTAAAAAATGAAAATGTCCCTTTTTGTCTATTTTAAATGTTGTAATGCTGTGGGGTTAATTCTGATAATAATGGTGAAAATGGACAAGCTGTATCTTGGCAGGGCCCATATAAGGTAGTAGCCCAGCTCTGTGATACTACCTACGTTATTGCCAGCTGTGCAGATAAAAGGATCCAGCGATCCTTTCATGTGAACATGCTGAAGGAGTATCAGGAAAGGCAGGAAGATATTGCTGCAGTATATGCCCCTGCTGCAGACGACTCTGAGAGCTTATCCCTCCCTGACCTGTTAGAAAGGGATCCCCAGACTGATCTCACTAATGTAGTAAAATTAGGAGACCGGTTAAGCCCCTCAGAAACCGAGCAAGCAAAATAGCTTCTATGGGAAAAACAGGCTACCTTTTCCATAAAACCAGGATACACTACCCTAGCCGTACATAAGATAGAGACCCCTGGACAGGCACCCCTCAGACAACCGCCCTACTGTATCCCTAAAGCAGATGACTCAGTTAGGAGTCATTGAGCACTCGGACAGCCCCTGGGCCTTGCCTGTAGTCCTTGTACCCAAGAAGGATGGAACCACACGGTTTTGCGCAGACTACAGGCGACTTAATGAAAAGACTACCACTGACGTCTACCCAATGCCCAGAGTAGACGAACTGCTATATCGTATAACCAGGGGACATTATCTAACTACAATAGACCTGTGTAAAGGCTATTGGCAGATTCCCCTGGCCGAAGAAGCTATCCCCAAATCGGCATTTGTTACCCCGTTTGGCCTGCACCAGTTCAGGGTCATGCCATTCGGGATGAAAAATGCCCCGGCTATCTTCCAACGTATGGTGGATAGGCTCCTCGATGGCTTCCAGGATTTTGCATGTGCATACCTGGATGACATTGCGATCTACACTGAGTCTTGTGAATAACACCTGGTTCACGTAGGGTTAGTGCTGGACAAGATTCGGCCCGCAGGCCTGACTTGAAGCCAGATAAGTGTCACTTAGGTATGGCTGAAGTGCAGTATTTGGGTCACCGGGTGGGGTGTGGGAGCCAGAGACCAGAACCGGCCAAGGTGGAGGCGGTAGCTAACTGGCCCACACCTCGCACTAAGACCCAGGTACTAGCCATCTTAGGGACTGCAGTATACTACAGACACTTTCTCCCGGATTACAGTAGGATAGCCAAGCCCTTGACTGACCTGACCAAAAAGAATCTACCTAAGCAGGTCCTGTGGTCTCCAGCTTGTGAAGCCGTGTTTCAAGCCCTAAAGCAAGCCTTTGTTAATGCCCCTGTCTTGGCAGCCCCAGTACATAACAAACGTTCCTTGTCCACACAGACGCTTCCATGTTTGGACTGGGGGCTGTGCTGAGCCAAGTCGTAGAAGATGGAGGAGAGCACCCTGTCGCATATCTCAGCAGAAAGTTACTACCCAGGGAAGTGAGTTATGCGGCAGTGGAGAAAGAATGTTTGGCCCTTGTTTGGGCGCTTAAGAAACTTACCCCATATCTTTATGGACACGAATTTTCATTGGTCACTCACCACAACCCACTGGTCTGGCTTAACCAGGTTGCAGGAGACAATGGCAGGTTGCTTCGGTGGAGCTTAGCCCTGCAACCCTAAAACTTCACCATCAGCTACCAACCCAGTAAGCAGAATGGCAATGCGGATGGGTTGTCCCAGCAAACAGACCTCACTCCAGCTTCCTAGTTCCGGACATCCCCAAGTTGACCCGAGAAGGATCAAGCCGGGTCTGCCGGAGCGTCCCACAAGGAGGGAGCCATGTGGCAGACCTCTCTGCCTTTGGATTACTACTGTTTCGTCTGTTTGTTCTGTATTTGCCGGTTGTTCGTATGGTTCTGCTTTCATTCACCTACATATGAATGAACTACCGAATGGCAGGCCACCTAGCAAGGAAGTGTGCTGCTTGTTAACCTTTCTGCCCTCATTAACATTGTGGTTAACCGCAGACACTTTCAACTCCAGAACGGTTGGCTGGGTGGTCGTCGTTCGTATGTACGAACACATGGTGACGGCCATCTTGGACAGTCGAACGCCCAGCGGAGTTCGTCGACAAACTTATGGAACTAATTTTGGACTCTGTTTCCCACGAACACCACTGAAATTACCGACTCTCATTGATCTGTCCAAGGTTCATACGAACGAAGTGACATCGCACAAACAGAGCTGCCCCAGATAGCCATCCCATTGAGCTCATTCATTTCGTCGAAAGCACTCTGTACAAGACTTTAGCTCCATGGCGATTGAACTACATGTATGGGATCTGAGCGCTGTTCGGTTATATTGAGGGATACGTTGAATGTGGGGATTCTGTTAAGTATATTTGGAAAAATATATTTTTATGTGGTTTTACTGTTGGTATAAAACAGAGGATATTCTCTATCACTGGAGGTAAATGAGTTACTTCTAGCACTTAACCCAATTATCTCCAGGATAGAGAGGAGGAGTTGTACTGTCCATGTGGGAGTGTTTTATACTGTAGATGTATGTGATTGGTTGCTGTACAAAACTGTCTCAGTCTTCCACAAGGTCCCTATGGGAGTGTCCCTTGCTGGAAAATCTGCACAAAAGGCTGACATGTAGCCCCCATTAAACAGATCCTGCTTGACCCTCAATACAGAGCCTCGTCTCGTACTTGGGGGGATTATTCGTATGTTTCCTGTTCGGCGCTTAGGAGTGTTCGGTAGCTGACTTTGTATTCGGGAAAAGGGAACAGCTTTGGCGGCGTTAACCCTTTCTATACCCGGGGTGGCGTTACACCTATATTCTTGGTGTGTTGCCTTGTCAATATTATCCATTGTGGTTTTGTTAACACTGATCATTTATTTTATTATTCATTGTGTTTTATTTATACTGCAATAGACTATTTCTTTCCGCTTTTAAAAAAAATGTTCCTATGTTATTAATTGTATTTTTCTATTAGTTGTCTATTTTTATGAAATAGTTTTCATTATATTTCTACATTATGATTATGTATTTCTATGCAATATTCTGCATTATACAAATATGTATATATATATTAGCCCACCAAGTCTGTCCTCCAATTCTTTCCACTCTGCATGGAAAGGTTTATTGAAGTTGAAGGATCACATTACCAAACAAAAAAAAAAGTTTTTTTTTCGATTTACATTTTTACCTTCCAATATGAAATAAATTTGAGGTGGCTGGACTATTTTTTAAAGACATGCTTTACCAATCACATCTCTTATTAGGAGTGCAAAAAACTAAAACTGATTCTGGAATACACCATTTAAAGACATACCAACGGACATTTAATATACTTTGATAAAGTCTAATTTAGGTGAAACGTGTCAGTGGGAGATATGTTTACATATTTATTGTTCTTAATCAATTTTGCTGTTCACTTTTTTTTCTACCATTTCTTCTGCCGTGATTTTCAGCCACCTGTCTGCATGCGCAGCATATCTTTACGGATTGCGCTTGATTTTTGTTTCCATTTATATATGTATGTACATATGTATATGTATATATAATATAAACAAAGACCATTAGTCAGATGTAGGGTTTGTATTTGTGCAAACACCTTTCATCGTGAGAAGAGAACTTGAACCCCACCAGCTCTGACAATTTCCAGCTCTGTGTGGTTCTAATTTTGCCAATGTGTGATATTATTATTATTATTATTGCCATTTATATAGCACCAACAGATTCCGTAGCACTTTACAATATTATGAGAGGAGGGTGTAACTATAAATAGGACAATTACGAGAAAACTTACAGGAACGATAGGTTGAAGAGGACCCTGCTCAAACAAGCTTACAGTCTGTAGGAATTGCTTTAAGACACATTAGGACAGGAAATATCAATCAAATTAGGTGGGAGTGAAGCAGAGCTGGAGGAGAGAGTAAAGCGCTGCCCTATAGGAGAGAGCAAGAGACGGTTATGCAAGGTAGAGGTTACTCTGGGAGGCCATAAGATTTCCTAAAGAGATGGGTTTTAAAGTATTGGAGACTGGGGGAGAGTCTGATGGGGGTAGGCAGACTATTCCATAGGAAGGGAGCTGCCAGCAAGAGGTCCTGCAAGCGCGAGTTGGCCGTACGGGTGCAAGCAGCGGTCAGGAGGTGGTTATGGGCAGAGCAGAGGGAACTAGGAGGGGCATACCTATGGATCTGTGAAGATATATAAGAATTTAAGAAGGGGCTAGAATTGTTCAGTGCTTTATAGGTATGGGTTAGTACTTTGAATTTACTCCTATAGGCTAGAGGAATTCAATGTAAGGACTGACAGAGAGGTGAGGTGTGAGAGGACCGACATGAAACAAAAATCAGTCTGGTGGCGGCATTCATTACAGACTGTAGTGGGGCAATACGGCTTTTGGGAAGGCTAATCAGGAGAGGGTTACAATAATCCATGCGGGAAATTACTAGAGAATGGACAAGCTCCTCCGTAGCATCTTGCGTAAGAAAGGGGCCGATGCAGGCTATGTTTTTAAGATGGAATCTACAGGTTTTGGCAACATACTGGCTGTGAGGCTCAAAGGTGAGGCAGGAGTCAAGTATGATCCCAAGACAGCGTGCTTGCAAGGATGGACTTATGTGGATATCACTAACTTGAAGGGAGAACGAGAGAGGAGGATCAGTATTAGGGAGATCAAAGACAAGGAGTTCAGTTTTAGAGAGATTGAGTTTCATAAAGCAGGAGAACATCCAGTCAGAGTTGGAAGAAAGGCAAGCAGTGACACGTTGCAGGACGGCAGGGGAGAGGTCTGGGGAGGAGAAATATATTTGGTTGTCATCAGCGTACAGGTGGTAGTGGAATCTAAAAGAGGCAATAAGTTTGCCAAGAGAGGCAGTATAAAGAGAAAATAGAAGGGGACCAAGAACAGAGCCTTGGGGGACTCCAACCAAGATAGGATGAGAGGAGGAGGTATAATTAGAAAAGGAGACACTGAATGAGCGTTGGGAGAAATAAAGGGAAAACCACAAGAAGACAGAGTCACAGAGAGCGAGTGATTGAAGAGTTTGAAGGAGGAGAGCATGATCAACGGTGTAAAGGCAACAGAGAGGTCAAGAAGAATTAGTTTGGAGTAGTGGCCTTTGGATTTAGCTGCGATTAGGTCATTAGTAACTTTGAAAATATATTAAATATATTATAATATCATGCTATGACCTATTTCCCCCCGCCCCCTACCCCTCCCCACATGTGAATAGAACATTACCGCTTTTAACTAAAAGTTATATATGTGTATTTTACTAGTTAGGCGCAGTTATACTCTTTTGTTTTTCATTGATATCTTATGACTGAAGTGTGTTTGTCTCGAACTATATTCTAATATGTTAAAACTTTATATATCTTAGGAAAACTGTTCTATTTTTGTCTATTATACATTTATAATTTGTTTTTAAAGCACTTGCATCATGTTTAGCATGCCCACTTGTAAAAGACACACACATATATATATAAGATATATTTATTTTAATCCTGAGATGACGTCTTCTACTAGATACATAGTATAACTACTATTCAGTAATTGCATTGTGTTTGAAAAATATTCTGCTCCTGTACATATCGTTGGTCCCAGGGGCATTCGGAAGTTTGTGTCATTGTAGCGTTATGTTTTACAATCTGTTACAGGCCCCTCCAGCTCAGAGCGGGATTTTAAAATCAATTATTCCAACTCAGTCTGCCCAATCCTTGGTATTAATAAAATGTTTCATATCTCAACACATCTGTTCAGAGCTCCTTGGGACCAATACTCATTGTGGCTGTAAAACACTTTATTACACCCACAGAAAAGACTGTAAAACACTTCTTACAGCAGTGACTCCCATATATCAATGTGTGTACATCACTCTTAAGGACCGAATGTCGCACTTTGCCATCATCGCAATCTGGTCACTATTGACCTTGAATGGACTGTCCCGACTATTAAGTTTTGGCAGCTCTACATGCTGGATTTTGTGGCAGGTATATAAAAAAAATGGACACATATATTCAAGCACGGATATTTCAACACCGTCCTATAAATCTCCCTCATGCTCTATATACCATCCTGATATATTTTCTCTTGCACTTTATGCTTACTTGCTATTGTCTCTTACGTTGTTTATACATCTCTTTTCCTGTCATTTAGTTTTCTTTATTGTTCGCTCTTTCCTTGCCGCATGTTCTTCAAACATTAATTTGATGTTGATCAACGTGAGTTTGACCTGGAAGATATGTGCAGGAGTTTTGTAGATAGAGATAAAACTCACGAGTCTCCACTATACGTAGTAAAATCTGCCTTACATAGATTCTGTTTAAATGTTGTTTATCAAAGCAGTAACGTTGTACATAGTTTTGAACCCAAGAGGGTGACGGGAGATTTGCAGAATTTTCAGATATTACATTCAAATTATTTTCTTTTTAACAGGTCAACTACAGGTTTTAAATAATAAACTGGATTACTGGAGGTTCCACCTGACAGGGTATCCAAAATAAAGGATCTACCACAGGATGGTAAGACTGGTTTTATAAATATTATGGAACAAGAATGAAAATGGATTTAAGAATAATATTACAATGAGCTTGGACAGTTTCCTGATCATCAAGGATATTGTTGTTAAAACTAGAGAAAAATTATTAATTTAAAGGACAGACTTATTACAGCCATTTTCAAATATCAAACTTGAAACAGACTTCCTGTGTGAATCATTCACTGACACTGAGTTTTCTAGTAAATGGTATTATTTTAAATAAAGGAAGCTGAGGGTCACTGCAAAATGGTTCAACAAATTCAACTTAAAGTGTATGAGTACCATAACAAGTTAATCAACAGTAAGTTGTTATTTTGCCAAGAGGTCCCTTACCTGACGGGGTTATTTATTTAAATTCTTTATTTTTGGTCGTGCAGGAGTATACAGGGTAACCCGCAATGCCACAACAGCAAAAATAAAAAATAAAAAATGAGAAGTAGTCAGCAGAGAGACAAAGTGACATAAGATAAGAGTTTGGTTACACTAACTGACCATTCGAGGTTATGCAATAGTGGTTAAGTTACATGCTATGCAAGATGCGGTTTGATCAGTGGAGATGGTAGATTTTGAGTTACACACTAGGCAAACAAGTGAGAGTTAATTTTAATGGTCCCGCTCCCTACCGAGGTGTGGAGCCCTCTTTTGGCCAGGTAGTAGGCCCAAGGTTAATACAGGGTGGGGGCCCATGAGTATGACAACTGTGGTGCAGGATAGTTTTAGAAAAGAGGATCCTTGAGGATCAGATAACTAGATCGGGTAACTTGGTATGGTGTCTCAAGATTTTGAGTGAGGCTGCTGCACCAACTGTAATGTATGTGGGTCAAGAAGATTGGAGCTGAGGGGAGGGGGAGTAGGATGGACATAATTAGGGGAGATAATTGGGTCTCAATTCGCCCAGTGTCGACCAGTACGGTCGTTCAGCCATATGTAGTGTAGGGAGGAGAGTGATCCCTTAGTGTAGCACAACTTTTTAAACAAAACTAAGGCATTGAAATAAAATGCAGATAACTTAATAGGAAGAGAGAGGGTACAAGTTCCAACAAAGATGTTGCCATTTTCAGGTGGCAGGTGCGCCCGCCATTCCTCGAGATGCAGGAGTGAACGGAATCACGGTAGCGGGGTTCCAGGTGGTGTTAGTGGGTCGAGGGTTAGGGCTCGGTCTCAGGGAGGACAGGATAGCGTCCATTTCAGATGCCTCCGTGACTCTGTGTTCTACACCATTATGCTGGAATATCAGCGCACGAGGTGTGCCCCATCGATACTTTATTCCTTGGGATGTGAGCGTGGATGCCAGGGGTCTCAGCGACTTCCGCCACTGCAATGTTGAGCGGGAGAGGTCAGCATAGATCGTGAGGTCCCTTTCTTCAAAGTGGTATGGGGTCTTCCCCCTGGTAGCTTGTAAGATGGCTGCTCTGTCTTGCCCGTTTTGAAATTTAACCAGGAGGTCACTGGTGGTTGGGGCTGTGTTGGACTGAGGCTTGGGTAGACGAAACATTCCATCTAGCTGAATGCCCTTTGCTGTTTTAGGGGGTAGTAATGCCATGAACAGCCTACGTAGAAAGTGTGGCATCTCTGCCATAGTAATGGAATCCGATAGGCCTCTGACCTTCAGGTGTTTCCACCTCCTCTTATCCTCTAGAATTGCTAGCTGGCTGTCAAAGTTAGCCTGAGCCATGGTGAGGTCCCTCACCTGCTTCTGCAGGTCTGCGATTTGGGGAGTGTGCTCCTCCACTGCTTGTTCCACGTTGGTTAAACGGGCTGTGAATCCCCTGACATCCTCCCATACTTGGGATATATCTGCAGAGAGACTTTGTCGGAGGTCAGCCAAAAGTGTAGCAAGGATGGTCGTGGTAAGTGGGATTGAGCTGCTGTCCACCTCCGGAGGTGGCTTGGGGGGTCCTTGGAAGCCCAGAGCTGCTGGGTTATGCGGGGTGAACTCTTCCGAGGTGTCGGAGAAATCGTCCAGCACGTCCGCCATTGCTGGCCCGCTTGCACAGTGCGGCCTTCTAAAGAGTTCACTGATGTCAGCCGTGTACCAGGGCCGGTCCGGCCTCGGTTTTTTATTCTTCTGCACCATCTGCTTACGGGCACTGTTGGCTATGTCCAGGGCAAACTGGGCTCCAGAAAGGTACCTTTTTTAAGGTTTTGCTGTGCTTTTTCGACGGAGCTCCATGAACATGCGACCGCTCCGATCGTGAGTTAGCTCTGCCAGCTCTACCTGACGGGGTTAAACCACTCTTAAAGAGTTTAGGCCCAAAGGTTGTTTTCCCTTGCCTGATCTTCCTATCCTCAGTTTCTCCAGTGCAGTTTGAGGGAGCAATGAGTACTGCCAGACAGGGGCGTGACTTGCTGGCCTAGAGTAGTCCACTAAGAGTAGCTTCCCATTGATTAAAAAAGATATGTGACTTCCCAGTGGGTCATTCCCAGTGGGCAACATATAGATTTAATTTATACCTACCTGAAGGTGAATTTCCGATGTTTCCATTCACAGACTATGTGTATCATTGGCCAAATTAAAGAGCTCATCTTCATTTTGATACTTTTTAGAAAATAAAAATTGTGTAACTAAACTGATTTGGAGTGACTGTAAAAAAAATGTGATTTATTCAATGTATTTATTGACAAATAAGATTGAATCAGTCAATATTGATTACTTCGCCTTCATCATTTTTGTCTGGCATTATTGTCTTTCAGTGTTTTATTGCCTTGTAGCGGTGAACATTCTACTCTTTCTCCTAACATTTATTTATAACTAATTTTTATAGCTATATTATAACCTGATGCCTAATATCACTTTTCACAAAACTATATAAAAAAAAAAAAATTACCTGGAGAATTTTTCCTAAAATAATTAGGAGCAGAATTACTGTACTTGTAACTGAACTTGTTACATTAAAGGGACACTATAGTCACCCAGACCACTTCAGCTATTGAAGTAGTCTGGGTGCAGTGTCCCAGGCCACTTAACCCCCTGCACTTCTAATTATTGCAGTTTTTGAAAAACTGCAATAATTATCTTGCAGGGTTAAACACTAGAGGGACTTCTGTGTGGTTATGCAACTTTCAGTAGCCTAACTGAAACTGGACGTCCTCATGCTCTGCATGATGACATCCAGCGTCACCCAAAGCCCCACAGGAAAACCGTATACAATGCTTTATTATGGGGAAAGTCCTAATGCGATCGAGGCGCCAGTGCCAAGTGTTAAAAAAGTGATAAAGGTTTTTATCAGCACCATGGGGGAGGGGCCGCAATGAAGGTGGGCACTATAGGTCTCTATAGTGCTAGGAAAACAACAAGTCATCTGTTGGGAAGGAGACCTTTATTTTAAGCTGTTCTCTAGCTAGATTTAAATTTAAGATTTTGTATTTAGGTCAGAGAATACCAAGATGTAAGCTGAGAACCTCGGTACCTGTATCTCCCTCCATTCACCTTTAATTTGGAAATTGTCCATGTAATAACTAACCCTGCTCATTGGTGCCTTCAAATAGTGTCGGTTTGAGAGTTTGACCCAATTTAGAACCCTGAGTGGGCCCCTCGAAAAAACCCTGGGTCTATATCTATCCATGCATTACTACTAGTCCCGAGTCCGCTGTTCTGTGCCTAGCCTGAGAACTTCTTTCAACACTGGTTAAAGTACCAGCTGTCCAACATACTGCTCAGCTCTTTATCCCTCCCATCTACTATGTAGCACGGCCAAGCAGCAGCACCCATGCCATTAGGTAAACCAGGCAAACATCCAGTGGGACGAAACAGGGGAGGTCAAAGAATTTCCCTGGCTAGCCCATGCATGAAAGATGCCAGTGAGGAGGATGAAGCACTGTTCCTTCACGGGCCGGTGGGGAAATCAAACTCTCTGGCGTAATTCACCCTGATGCTGTGGGAAGGGGATGCAAACCTTCAAACAGAGCAATCACAGCAGCAGGCAAATTGGACTGAGCAGCAGCTAGTCAAATAAAAGATGGGTGCAACTCAACATGTTAAAACATTTGTAATTCTCTCCCAAAAAAAAGTAATGAATTAATATAATAATTTTTAAATCAGTAAATGCAATAAACCTTTATGTTACCCCAAAGTCTAGCTCAAATGCAGCTACGTCCTAACACCTTATGTTTGTGGAGAACTAGGAACATTCTTACATTACTGATAGACTTGTCCTAAACTGAAAACACCGTGGACACAGATCGCTTCCCTACTCACCCACTTCCAAGGCAGAACTTACAATATGGACCCATTGGCACAGCTGCGGTAAAAACCTCTTAACCGTAGTGAATAAACTAGCAGCACATATCGGCACGAAGAGCTATTGTAAAACCATGGGTCATAGAAGATATGCCTGTTGCATATAACTATTGCATGATAATACAGAAAATAAAAGAAGCAGTTGAAATGGATAAACTCCTGGCACAGCTATACGACATGCCCGGATCCTTCCATAAAATGTAAAACCCTTGGCAGAATCAAGACATTTCTACATTCGGCTAGACTTCACTCGTCAATGAAGGCAACTATTTGCTACCTTCATTTTTGTGAAACAAGCTGGCACTCTTACATATCTTTCCCATGACCCCTCATCCCATTTCTTCGGACTTGCACCGGGACATGCTCCTTTTATTTTCTTTAACACTCTATTTATCATCACCTCAATCCGCTCTGATGGACCTATAAATAGTTCTAAGTTTCTATCTCCCCATTTACTCCCTTAATAATATACTTCCCAACCTCCCCCCACTCTAACTCTTCCATGAGAACACACGGAGGACTTGGAACGTACGGGACCCCTATAATTTAAGGAATAAATCAGACTTGCTTTAATTATCTTACCTCCTTCCTCACACCAAATGGGTGGAACCCCATATTTATGCATCCCTTTTTATCAATCTTATCACTTTGCTAGCTAACACATGATACTACTAATGATGTGCCTAGAAATACTTATGACTAAACTTTTCAATTCAGACCAGTGTGTTATCCTCCTTTGAATGTTATTTCTTCTTTGTTTATTGATATATACTTGTTATTACTCCTTCTACATGTATATTCATACACACACAAACACACCCTCTGAGCACACATAATCAACTCACTAATAGAAAGATGATAGTTTTTCTTAATTCCTTTTTGGCATTAGAAAAAAATACATCTGAGACAGGAGGATAACTTTATGCTTTATTAAGGTTAAAATCAGGTAATCCACCTGATTATTAAAAGCCATATCCCAAAGTGTAGGCCACACAGTGTCTTTATTGGTAGCACAAGGGAAGGCAAAAATGTGTTCTTTAGTATGGACATTTATCTGGGATTTTAATGCCCAAGCATAATTGTCTTCATTTTCTTTTTTAAGTGTCACACAGAAAGGAGGAAACATATTTTAGGTACTTTATTATGAATTATGTGAAGATGTTTGGCTAGTGTTATGAAATTAACATTGGCTAATGCAATATCACTCGATTCTGAAAACCAAATCATGAAGTTCAAGCAACAAAGCCTCCACTGACACTCATATTCAAAAAACATTGCAGGTTTTGATTTGTTTGATTGGACACAGCAGTCCAGATTTATCAAGTGGTTAAAAAATATCCAGCACGAAAAAATTCTACCAATTTTCACAAGACTTAACTATCAAAGTATCGTTAGCACCATTTGGCAAAGAAAGGACTAGAATTAGGTTTGATTTGTCCATTGTCTTTAACGTTCGGTAATGGTTTCCAATAACTTTCTGTCACAGATCCTCATTAAATGGGCATTAATGTGAGGGAGAAAACTAATATATAGATATATTCTTTAACGTTAGTTTCATGGCAAAATCTGGTCTGGATTTCTTTGTTCAAATCTAGATTTTGCAGTAAGGATGTTGGTTCAATTGCAATGTAACCGTTTTGTCTATGTTTGTGTTTAAACAGGTGAAGTTCTTCTATGTGTACCCTAAATTAGCAAGGTGACTGTTCATTCTTACATATTGTGAGGTAACTGACAGAATCAAATGCTTTATAGTAAAGTCAGCTGTTCTTCCCAAATAATGCCAGCTCTCACCAGCAAATGACCACAGAGAAATCTCATTTATTTCCAAATAATTATTCCACCATATTAATGACAATAAGATGAAATAAAAAAAATAATTACTATTAAAATTGCTTGGCCATGCAGTTTGTGTTATCCGTGTCCAGCAGAATGGATGGCATTTGGATTTCAAAAATCCCCCATAATCCCTTTCCTTTGTTTATATGTTTGTCGTTACACATGGATATCTGTATCAAACAGTTATTTGATTTATTTCTCTCTCATCCTGATGCTCTTAAGTACAATATTATAATTTTTTTTAAATTGTTAAATTGTACAAAAAAACAAATAAATAATAAATCCAATTTTTCTTTCTTTTAATCCCCATCACTGTGCAGTTTGCAGTTATTGCTGAATGGGATGCATAAGTACATAGAACACGTTTATCTTCATCTGGATAGAATGCGTTCAAGTACAGCTAAACATCTGTGCAATAAAGGCTACTGCAGGCCTCAACTGCAGCTGTAAGGAAACTCTGTAATGTGTTCAGTGTGCAGACACCCCTTCTCTCCCTTCCCTTCCTGCAAGGTGTGGAGAAGATAATGGGGGACAGTCGTAATTTACATTCAGAGACAGAATGGATCCCTGTCGAATAAATTTGTTTCCTTGCAGGATGAAACCTACCATTGCAGCAAAAGCGAACACAAGTGGAGCTTTGTGAGCTAAATTAAATTTTCCTTTGCAGAACATGTAGAAACATTTAATTTTGTTATGAGAGAAATGCCAATTTAGCATTTTCAGTAAGTAAAGAATTCTCCTTTGAAAAATAATTTCCCCATCATTAATGTCCTTTTAATTAAGGGTTACCATTGTAAAATGAAAACACAGACAGGATATTTTGCAAAACCAGCTGTTCCTGCCTCCTAGGTTAATGCCAGAGTTACTGGAATCAATATAAAAAAGCAGGTGTTACATGCTACAGTCAACATAATCCAGAGAAAACCATCTAATTTTAAAAAATAAATTAAAGCTAATAGATACAGTAATGTTCCTTTCAGAGATGTTACTTTGAGGTCAGTAGAATTATTCAGTCGGTCCATCTCAAAGAAAATGTTTTTTTGTCACTGATAAAGGGTTGGAGTCCAGGATTGTACACATTGTGAAAAACTCATTATTTATTTAATCGAATCACTGATGGCTATGCCAGGGTTAATTTCCACCAAGTCAGTTATTTCACAGTTCCACCAGAGTTTGAGATACCAAATTCCCTTTCTGCAGTGAGGTAGAATGAACAGGTGCCCTTTAAGGTCAAATGTTATATAAACATATATATTTCTTGTGCATGTGTCAGACATTTAAAATGTATGTATAGTTTAGTCTTCCCTGCTAATGATGTGCTTCTATCATTCCACAAAGGAAGAGGCTGAGCCTTTCAAAGAATTTGGTTTGAAGCCAATCACATAAAACATGAAAAATCAGTATGATGAATTCAAGTTTTCTAATATGATACATCCATAGAAAAACTACAAGATGCCTTATAATATCGGTGACAATTTTATATTTCTTGAGCTTTACAAATACAAGTCTTCTCTATGCCCAGGTGGTAATTTAAGGACCATGTAGGGGTACACAAGATTAGCATATATTACAATTAATGGTTCTTTCTTTTGTTGACAATAAACCCAAATGATGGGTTTCAAGTGTTATGTAATACACACCAACACAAATTCAGCAAAAACACTTCTCTTCCAAGTGTCAGAAAAGAAAGACATTCTTAAAACATTAAACTATTGTTTGTGAGCACTTACCTGGGTCAGCCACAGTGGGACCTGACTAATATGTGAAACATTCACTGACAGTCACACTCACTGATCACACACACTCTCACTGCCTGCTTCTAGGCCAATGACTCTACCTGTCTATCTTTAAGCCACACCCCCTTTTGTAATCAGACGCACTCTCTCACTAATAGAGATACACACTCACTGATTTGACACACACTGAGACGTACTGATACTCTCAATAACAGACACACAATCTAACTGATTTGAAACACACACTGACAGACACGCTTACTGACAGGCACACACATACACACACTCTCAATGACAGACATACACTCTCACTGATTTGAAACACACACTAGCAGACACAAGCACTGACAGACACACTGGCACACTGTCTCAATGACAGACACACAATCTCACTGATTTGAAACACACACTGACAGGCACACTTTCTGACAGGCACACACATACAAACACTTTCAATGACAGACACATTCTCAGTGTTTCGAAACACACACTGGCAGACACACACACTGACAGACACACTGGCACACACTCTCACTCATAGACCAAGCAGGACAAATATATGGGAGGAGGGAGTATATAGTCTGTATTGTGGGGGATGCAGTGTAGCGAATGGCACTGGGCTGTCCTGCAAATGTCCTTGAAATAATTGCATTCGTGTGATCTGCTAGTTTTCTATGTGTTTCAAGCCTTGTATTCTTTTGATTGTTCGGTAGTTTCATTCCCTTAGTTTATTCGAATGAAACTACCGAACAGCCAGACCTCCCCTGTGTAAAGTGTGTCCTCAATTACTCGTTGCAACATTGTTGCGAACGGGTAATTGACTAGGAAGTAGCCGTCCTTTGTTCTCGGGGGTGGCCGCCATTCGACAAACGAACACGTGGCGGCGGCCATTTTAAAACTCCCGAACAGCGGTGTTTTGCCGTCGAGTGTCTGGAACTAAAATCGGACACTCGAGTAGGCGAACACCGCTGAGACCTCCACAGCCCTGGTCCGTTCGGTTCCAAACTACCGAACGGCCCCTCGTTCGGTAGATAGAAAATACCGAACGAGGGGATTCAGGCGAACCCTCCCTAGCCTCTATAGCTAGAGGTTTTCGTGTATTTTATTCCCTTATGCCAGGACCGACCGCAGGGCCCATTCACATGGAACCGGATTCGGCTATCTCTGTTCGTGCGGTCGGTCATTTTATTCCCTCCATACTTTTCCCGAACCCCTGGTCTGATCTGGGTGATTTTTGGATATGTTGGTCACCCAGATCAGGGCTACCAGGGGATGTATGATTTAAAGGGGTACCCCTACGTTTAGGGGTACATCCAGAAACGGGGGGAATTGGTGTGCTGGATAAGGGGATTATGATGCTGGCTGAGGGGAGGGGATGTGTGGGAGGTTACCAGGACAGGATTGGCTACTGTAATAATTACTGTAAATCCCTCCCTTGCATGGGAGCATGCTTTATAAGGAGACTGTGATTAAAGGCTTGTCAGTTCTGCTCCTGAAACTGTGTGTCGTCCAGTTATTGGGATTGCTGTGGGGAGATTGCTGTTATTTTTACCTGCTGGAAACTTTGCCTATGGATTTATTATTTACTTGTTCCTGAGCCTCACTTGGATTACAAGCGGAGATAACCTGTGGAATATTGCATCTCCGCTACATTGGTTGGCAGCGCTGGGATCCAGACTCACAAGGGAACAAGTACTAATGGAATACGGATGGAGAGTGATTATGCCAAGCTTAAAAGATCCACGCTAAAGGATCTCCTGGAAGCGAAAGGTATTGCAGCCAGCAACAAAAAGAAAGCAATCCTCATTGCAGAAGTGATGGCTGAATACCAGCAGGAGGACAGGGTAATCCCTGAGCAGCAGAGTGCAGCAGAGGGAGCTGAAAAAGAAGAGTTCCGGAGAGAAGTGCAGTTCAGGCTGTCCTTTTATGGAGAGAATCCAACAACAGATATTATATCCAGGACAATGACAGAGGTACAGGAGTTTATACTGCGTCAAAGGCCACTACAACAGCTAGAGAGGAATGCTACCACAACTACCATCACACAGGGTAAGACAAAAATTCCTTACCAAGCCTTTAAAACGTATATAGAAGCAGAGGAAGATATAGATGCTTTTCTCCAAGACTTTGAAAGGCTGTGTGCATTGCATAGTATTAGCCCAGACGAGTGGGTGCCTATTTTAGCAGGGAAGCTCACAGGGAAGGCGGCTGAAGCCTATAGAACTGTACCTGATGAGGAGATTCGGAATTACCGCAGAGTAAAAGAAGTGATCCTGGCCCGATATGCAATCACACCAGAGGCATATCGGCGGCGGTTTAGAGACCTAAAGAGAAATGATAAGGACTCTCATGTGGAATGGGCTTGCAAGTTGCATCGGGCCGCTCTGGGGTGGGTACAGTCCAATAAGGCTCGGTCCATGGAGGACTTGTTACAAATGGTGTTGCTGGAGCAATTTTATGAGGGGGTAACCAGCGATGTCCAGGAATGGGTGAGGGACAGAAACCCTACCTCCCTTACCGAAGCTGCCAGGAAGGCAGATGAGTACTTGGATGCACGCAGGCAGCAGAAACCTGCAGCCCCAAAAACCAGTTTTAAAACATTTGGGGGAAACAGCTACAACCCAGCTCCACCCAGGCAACTGCCACCACCACCACCACCCGCTGCACAGCAACGTTTTCGCCAGCCCGCTTCCGGCCCCTGTCATCACTGCCAGAAGTGGGGACATTATAAAAGGGAATGTCCCCAGCTGAGGGATCGTTCAACCTGGATTCGCCCCGGCCCACCACCACCACCAAGAGCAGCCGCCGCCCATCACTACCAAGATACAGTGGCCACACCATATGGGTCAGCTATTCCCATAACAACCGTGGAACAGTGGGAAGTACTGCACGAGGCGGATCCAGTCCAGGCCAATGCGGATAACAGACAGCACCACAGGCAGACCGTATACCTGGAAGGTAAAGCAGTACAGGGACTACGTGATTCGGGGGCTACTATCACCTTGGTAAAGAGTCACCTGGTGTCGGATCAAGCGAGACTAAGTAAAACTGTGGCCGTCAGGGTAGCCGGGGGAGCAGTGTACCGGCTACCTACAGCAAGGGTACATTTACATTGGGGAGCGGGGGCAGGACATGTGGAGGTGGGGTTGATGCCGCAGTTACCGGCGGAGGTTTTATTGGGGAACGATCTGGGGAGGCTCACATCTGCTTTTGAGCCCCAGATGTCCACCACAGGAGAAGCTCACCCTGTGGTCACCCGTCAACAGGCCCGCACCCAGGACTACCACTCACCTCCGGAGGTTCAGGTAAGAGACCCTTCCCCTTCCCTTGACTGTGTCCCCTGGGCCCCTCCTAACGAATTTGCAGCAGAGGTAGTGACTGACCCCACCTTGCAGGTATACAGGGACAAGGTGACAGCAGACCCTCCTGGGGGAGAGGGGGAGAGATTTGTCTGGGACAAGCAGCTTTTGTACAGGGAGACAGACAAGCAGATTGAGGGGTCAGACCCAATAGTGATGAGGCAGCTAGTGGTGCCGCAGCGGTACCGAGCAGAGCTACTCCGGATAGCGCACGATATTCCGCTATCCGGACATCTAGGGGTCAGCCGCACTAGGTACCGACTGACCCAAAGTTTCTTCTGGCCAGGGATCAGCCAGGAAGTGCGCAGGTATTGCACCACCTGCGATACCTGCCAGAGGGTAGGGAAAAGGGGAGACCGGAGGAAGGCGAAACTACACCCCTTGCCAATAATTGAGGAACCTTTTAGCAGAATAGCGGTAGACTTGATAGGTCCCCTCAAGAAAGCTAGCCCGTCAGGCAAAAGGTACATTTTAACGGTAGTAGACTATGCTACCAGATATCCAGAGGCAGTGGCTCTGACCAACATTCATACTGAAACGGTCGCGGATGCCCTCATGCAGATATTCTCCCGGTTGGGATTACCCAGGGAGATTATCTTGGATCAGGGTACCCAATTTACCGCAGAATTCACCCAACACCTCTGGAGGATCTGTGGCATTAAGCCTATTATCAGTGCCCCTTACCACCCCCAGACTAATGGGCTCTGCGAACGGTTCAATGGCACATTGAAGCAAATGCTCCGAACCTTCGCAGAGACCCACAAGGACTGGGAGAGGTTCCTGCCGCATCTCCTATTCGCTTACCGGGAGGTGCCGCAGGAATCCACGGGATTTTCCCCGTTTGAACTGCTGTTTGGGAGGAGGGTCAGAGGCCCCTTAGATCTTATAAGAGAGCACTGGGAGGGAGATCGGAGCACAGATGGCACCCCCATCATACCATATGTGTTGGCTCTCCGAGACCGCCTGGAAGCATTAACCAGGACGGTAAGGGAAAACCTTCAGGCGGCACAGACCCGCCAGCGCACATGGTATGACCGGGGAGCCAGGGACCGTAGCTTTCAGGTCGGGCAGAAAGTGCTAATTTTAAAGCCTGTCCGACATGACAAGCTACAGGCCGCCTGGCAGGGACCTTATAGGGTGGTGGAACAGAGATGTGACACCACCTATATAATTGGCCCCTGTACAGGGACGGGAGGGCGACGCATGCTCCATGTGAACATGATGAAGCCCTACCAAGAGCGCTCCGAGGAGGTAACCGCCATATGTGCGCCCAATTCTGATGAGTTTGACAGCTTACCACTCCCAGATCTGCTGGAAGATGGGCAGTTGTCTGGGGATTTAGGGGAAGTCACACTGGGAGACCGGCTGAGCCCACAGGAGCGCATCGAGGTACAGCAACTGCTGGAGGAGAAACGAGACACGTTCTCTAATGTACCTGGGTACACCCCTCTGGCCACTCACCGGGTAGAGACCCCAGGGCAACTACCGATGCGCCAGACCCCCTACCGCATCCCAGAAGCGGTAAGGGAAAACATGCGCAAGGAGATCGATGAGATGCTCCAACTGGGGGTGATTGAGCCCTCAGATAGTCCCTGGGCTTCTCCGGTAGTACTCGTACCGAAGCGGGACGGTACGACCCGCTTCTGCGTAGACTACCGGAGATTAAACGAGAAAACGGTGTCCGATGCATACCCTATGCCACGGATAGATGAGCTACTGGACAGAATGGCCAGGGGTCAATACCTCACTACCATTGACTTATGTAAGGGGTATTGGCAAATCCCCCTGGCCCCAGAGGCCATCCCAAAGTCGGCCTTTGTCACCCCATTTGGCTTGTACCAGTTTAAGGTCATGCCATTTGGGATGAAAAACGCCCCAGCTACTTTCCAGCGGATGGTAGACCGACTCCTGGATGGGTTTCAAGACTACACCTGTGCCTACCTGGACGATATTGCCATTTTTAGCAGTACGTGGCAGGAGCACTTGGCCCATATAGGAGCGGTTCTAGACAGGATTAAGGAAGCTGGTTTGACATTGAAACCGGCCAAGTGCAGCATAGGGATGGCCGAGGTGCAGTACCTCGGACATAGAGTGGGTTGCGGCAAACAGAAGCCCGAACCAGCCAAAGTAGAAGCCGTGGCCCAGTGGCCCACTCCTAGGACTAAAACCCAGGTGTTAGCTTTTCTAGGGACCGCTGGGTACTACAGAAAGTTTGTCCCTAACTATAGCACCCTCGCCAAACCTCTCACTGACCTCACTCGGAAGAATTTGCCCCGCCAGGTGACCTGGACCCCGGAGTGTGAGCAGGCATTCCAACATCTGAAAAATGCACTGATAAATGCCCCTGTCTTGGCCGCTCCCAATCCAACTAAGCGGTTTCTTGTCCACACAGACGCTTCTATGTTTGGATTGGGAGCAGTACTGAGCCAAGTCGGAGCCGATGGCGGAGAACACCCCGTGGCTTACATCAGTCGCAAGCTGTTACCCCGAGAAGTAAGCTACGCCGCCATCGAGAAGGAATGCCTG